TTCCTTCTCTTACTACTTCCGAAGTTAACCAATCCTATAGAACCCGTTCGAGGAACTCGGGAGTGGCATCATTCTCAAGTTTTCCTTCAAACCCGTTTAGGCTTATGGCTCTAAGGATAGTCCGTTCATAGCCCAATTGCCTCGATACCATGGAGGGAGCATAACAAGTATACCCGAGTTGCTCCTATTAGAGGAACCCAAGGTCGTGCTCCATAGCAAGCTATGTATGCCCTTCGATTCATCCAAACTGTCTTCCACGTAAAGCTTCGGTCAACAAGCTTAAAAATACCGAAAACCACTCTCGTTCGGACTTGTTTTTCCATTTGTCGACCAAGAACTCTTTCAATGGTTCTTGATCGGTCCACCAGCATGTCTTGAAAATCGATTTATGGACTTCAAAATGGCTAATTACCCATACAAAACGCAACCGAATACAACATTTCATACTCCCTTTCCCACACCTCCCGTAATGACTCGGTGAGAAGAAGGTTTCAGCTACGATGCCAACGGTAGGATTTATGGAGTGTTTCTCCACCTCGATGAAGACATTGGTCGCATCTAGACCGATTAAACCGATTATTGAGGGAAAAAGCACTCACCCAAAGATCATAAGTGCTAGAATTTTAAGCCGTTTAGAGGTAGCCCTTGGGTCCTTCATTTTTTGCTTCGACACATCCAACCAGACTCTCACAATGCCATCCTTTGATGTTCTTTTTAGCTTTATAATGAGTCATGCTTATGTCTAGCCAATCCTCCACCCTTTTTTCAACATCCGATCTTCTTCGATATAAATATACCCGATGTAGAGTGCTTGACATGTTTAGAAGCTAATGATACTCCTTCAAGGTCGGGGTCATGTCTAGTCCCCCTATGGTAAAGCATCCGTATGAAGGGTCCCATAGACGGGCCAAGGCCTTCGCAGTGGGCTTCGAACCGGTACCTCTAGTAACACCTGCAAGATTCACATATTTAACTCGAAACTTATACTCGGTCATCGTGGCTCGGCATCTTCCAACAATCAAGCGGTTTTTGGTGTCATTGATCACCGATTGAAAGTGTGTGATCTCCTTATGGTTGCTCCGAAATTCCAATCCTAGGTAATCTCCCTCCGTTTGTTGCAAAGCCTCGAATTTTTGTTGAATTCGGCCACCAAGTGAGTTTAGATCCGAGTTCTCTTGTCGGCCATCCCGAAACATCGCGACCGTATTGCTTGGTCAAGGTTTCACATATCCAGCTTACCTAGTGAATTTATAAAGGAAAGTTGATCCTAGGGTCCGGTTTTAGCCATTACATGATTGGGTAGGATCTATCTAAGTCTCAAAGGATCCCTTTTGGCCCGGGAGAACCGAGACCGACCAAGTGCAAAGCTAGTAATCATGGAGACCATCGAATACCTATTGCGACGAGTGGCGGCTTTCCAAAACGAGTTGAGGTTTCGTGAGTGTTACCCGAGATGAACCCATCGGGGTACCGGTAATTCCTCCCTAGATCCTAAGGCGAATGGAAATGTCATAAAATCATACAATGTGGTGTGTACATTGGCATTATTCCATATCCGAGTCTCAAATAAAAATAAAACAAAGGTACAAATAGAAAAAGAAACATAGAAAATCAAAAAAAAAAAAAACAAAAAAAGGTAAGAATCAAGAAAAATAAGAAAATAATTAGATAAATAAATAAAATAAAATTTGAGGTGAAAAATAAAAAAAAAGGCATAAATTTAAACATGACAAGCAAATTACAAAAATAAGCTAACGAGGCGTCGGAGAATAGGCCACATCATCGAAATCAAACTCAAAACCGCATACAAAGCCTAACCCTAAGTATTTTCCCCGATGGAGTCGCCATTCCGTCGTAGGGCGACGTCGGGCCGTGAGGTAAAATGTAGGGCAAATGATTGGAGTCATCACCTAGTATTATGGTTACTAGGAAAACTCGTGATCGGTCTATTCGCAGTTTTGGGTAAGGGGTTTATTACGTGTAGAAAAGACCAAAAGTCACCCTACCCCGTCTTGCCTAAGGCAAGTTGTATTGCATACAACCTTAATTTGACTTCGATGAAAGTGCCCCATTTGTCGAGTGATTCGGGACTTGGTTAGTCGAAGACCTTGTCCTCACTCTATAATAAATGGCTAAAAATGAACACGAGGATATGCTTGCTAGTGCAGCTCAAACGACATACATAAGAAACAAAACTTAAAATGGGCAAATAGGCAAACAAACAAGACGAGCAAAATGACAATAGGCAAAATAGGTAGAAACAAGCAAATAATGACAAAATAGACAAATTGGCAAATAGGTTAAAATCGACAAACACACAAATTGACAAAATTGACAAACGAGCAAATAGACTATTAGAAAAAAATTAACAAATAGGGAAAATAGGTAATCATAGGCAGAAATAGGCAAACTTAGGCAATCATAAGCAAAAATAGGCTAAAATCGGCTACATAGGCAAAAATAGTCAAAAATTGACAACTAAGGAAAAATAAGCAAACTTAGGGAAAATAGGCAATCATAGGAAGAAATAGGCAAACTTAGACAATCATAGACAAAAATAGGCTAAAATGGGCAAAAATCGACAACTTAGGCAAAAATAAACGAAAATCAACAACAAAAACGAAAGTGATAGCTTCGGCTAAAATCGACAACGAAAACGAAAGCCACAACTTTGACCAAAATTGATAACGAAAAATGAACGCCATAGCTTTGGTTAAAATTGACAACAAAAACGAAAGCCACGAACTTTGGCCAAAATCGACAACAAAAATGAAAGCCACATATTCGGTTAAAATCGAAAATGAAAAATGAAAATGACAACTTTGGGCAAAATCGACAATGAAAGATGAAAGCCACAATAAGCCAAAATTGGCAACAAAAAACAAAATCGATAATAAAAAATAAAGCAACGGCTTTGGCTAGAATCGATAACAAAATCGCAAATTGATGGCTTTAGGCAAAAGTAGGCTAAAATCAACAAAACAAACACACATAGGCAAACATTGATGAGAACTCGACAATGGGACCAAAATCGGAGAAAACGCACAAAAATCAATAAAATTAATTACTTTAGCATGCTTAACAAGAACGGAATTACATAACAACATTTCAAACATTAATGACTCGATTTTTTTATACAAGTTATCATGCAAGATGCGATTTTAAAATATATGTTCGAATACCAACAAATATCAACATGTTTAAACCAACGCATCATTCCAATCATATCGTAAAAAAACCAAAAGTACACATCATTGTAATTCAAACGGATTACACATGAATAAATATATCAAATTACATCATATTCATTCAATTAATTACATGACATATATAACATGAAGAAAATTTAATACATGTAATAATAATAATAATAATAAAAGAAAAGAAAATAAAGCAAAAAAAAGTAAAAAAATTACCGTAAAGAAGAAAAAGAGGCGAGTTTGATGATCTCGAGGTCGATCCGACCTTTTCAACCTCGATGGAGACTAATACTTAGTCAACCGGGAAGGAAAGGTGGTCGTTGGTGCGTTGGTGAGGCACTCGGTTGGGGTGAGGCGAGCCGCCGGCGTTGGTGGTCGGCTAGCTAGCGTTGGCATGCGTTGGGTGTCGGAGCTCGACGTTAGGTGCCGGGTTTTGGTGCCGGCGTGTGCTAGGCGCCGATGTCGGTGTTAGGCGCCGGGTGCTCGGTGAGGAGGCCTCGCCGGAGGGCGAAGCTAGCGTGCTCGGGGCCTACTCGCTGGAGGTGCTTGCAGGCGCATAAGGTGCTCGGTGGAGGCCCGGGGGAGGCGCGCAGTGCCGTTGGAGGAGGCCGTGTCGTGTGGGAGGCCGCTTACTGCTCGTGGTTGGAGGAGGCCGGCGTGCTAGGTTATTTTTTAGGAAAGAAAGTGAACGATGAGCTGGCCTTTGTGGGAGAAAAAAGGGGGCTTTTATACTAGCTTTTTAGGGTTTTTTTTAGCAAAAATCTGTTTTGACCCCTCATTTTAAAAGTCAACTTTATTTTGCTTCCTTTCTCTTTTCTTCTTCAATTGCACCCTAATTGCATTATTTTTTTTACTTCCTTTTTCTCTTTTTCTTCTTTTTTTGGAACCAAAATTAGGTGCTAACACACTTAATTTCTTTTTTAATAATTTTAATAAAATTTTCAATCGACATTAATTATCAAATTTCTTCTAATTAAAGTAGGGGCAATTATTAGCAACACCTAACACCAATTAATGTGGCTTTGGATGTGAAGGTAAGAAAATCCAATAAGTTCGGTGGTATCGAATAAGAAGGTGAAGCTACCCTATATAATTCACCGAATCCGGCCTATAAAATCCACCAAACACTTCAATCAAAATCGCAACCCTAATTAGTGGTGCTCGCTTTTGAAAAATTTAGTAGTCTTGCTATGAAAAATAGAGAGAGTCCATGAAGAAGAAGATGGAAGAGGTGGTGATGATGATGAGGGATTTTTAGAGTGATTTTCATCTATCATGTTAGAGATATACCAAGTCAAACTCCTAAGGTTTTCACTCCTCTCTTTTTTCTTCTTTGTTAGTGTATGTATATAACTATGAAATAGCAAGAAGCACAACAATAAGTTTTTTTCTTTTTCGAGATGAGTACAACCATAAAGATTTGAAAGTGAAAATTATCTATTGGGTGAAAGATAAACATGCATCAAATTTTTTGTACCGGTGGATTTGAATCAAATCTCTTTCTTTCAATTCACTTAATTACTTTTTTAATAATTCCAACAAAATTTTCAATCGGCATTAATTATAATATTTCTTCTAATTAAAGTAGGGATAATTATTAGCAACACCTAACACCAATTAATGTGGCTTTGAATGAGAAGGTAAGAAAATCCAATAAACATGTGATATCGAATAAGAAGGTGAAGCTACTTTATATAATCCATCGAATCGGCCAACAAAATCCACCAAACACTTCAACCAAAATCACAACCCTAATTAGTGGTGTTGCCTTTGAAAAATTTAGTAGTGTTGCTTTAAAAAATGGAGAGAGTCCATGAAGGAGAAGATGGAGGTGGTGGTGATGATGATGTGGGATTTTCGGAGAAATTTTCATATATAATGTTGGAGATATACCAAGTCGAGCTACTAAGGTTTGCACTCCTCTCTTTTTCTTCTTCTTTGTTTGTGTATATATATAATGATGAAATCGATAGAAACGAAAAAAATAGGTTTTTGCCTTTTCCGAGATAAGTACAACCATAAAGATTTGGAAGGGAAAATTATCAATTGGGTGAAAGATAGACATTCATCAAATTTTCTTTACTAACGGATTTGAATCAAACCTCTTTCATTCAATTTAGATAATTTCTTTTTTAATAATTCCACCAAAATTTTCAATCAGCATAAACTATCAAATTTCTTCTAATTAAAGTAGGAGCAATTATTAGCAACACCTAACACTAATTAAAGTGGCTTTGAATGAGAAGGTGAGAAAATCCAATAAGTTCGGTGGTATCGAATAAGAAGGTGAAGCTACCTAATATAATCCACCGAATTTGGCCTACAAAATTGACCAAACACTTGAGCCAAAATAACAACCCAAATTAGTGGTGCTACCTTTGAAAAATTTAGTAGTGCTTGATTTGAGAAAATGGAGAGTGTCCATGAAGAAGAAGATGGAGCTCATGGTGATGATGATGAGGGATTTTCGGAGCGATTTTCATCTATCATGTTAAAGATATACCAAGTCAATCTCCTAAGGTTTGGGCTCCTCTCTTTTTTCTTCTTTTTTGTTAGTGTATATTTATAACGATGAAATAGCTAGAAACACAAAAATAAGTTTTTTATTTCTCATTTTTGAGATCAATGCAGTACACAAAGATTTAGAATGGAAAATTACCTATTGGATGAAAGATAGACATCCATCAAAGTTTCTATACTAGTGGATTTGAATGAAATCTCTTTCTTTCAATTCACTTAATTTTTTTGAATAATTCCAAAAAAATTTTCAATCAGCATTAATTATCAAAATTCTTCTAATTAAAGTAGGGGCAATTATTAGTAACACCTAACACCAATTAATGTGGCTTTAAATAAGAAGGTAAGAAAATCCAATAGGCGGGTGGTATCGAATAAGAAGGTGAAGCTACCCTATATAATCCATGGAAGTTGGCCTATAAAATCCACTAAACACTTCAACAAAAATCACAACCCAAATTATCGGTGCTGTGTTTGAAAAATGCGAGTAGTGTTGCTTCCAAAAATGGAGAGTGTCCATGGAGAAGAAGATGGAGGGGGTGATGATGATGATGAGGGATTTTCAAAGTGATTTTCATCTATCATGTTGGAGATATACCAAATCGAGCTCCTAAGGTTTACAGTCCTCTCTTTTTCTTCTTCTTTGTTAGTGTATATATATAGCGATGAAATACAAAAAAAAACAAAACAATAAGTTTTTTCCCTTTCATGAGGTAAGTACAATCATAAAGGTTTGGAAGGGAAAATTATCTATTGGGTGACAAATAGATATCCATCAAATTTTATGTACCAATGGATTTGAATCAAATCTCTTTCTTTCAATTCACTAATTTTTTTGTAATAATTCCAACAAAATTTTCAATCAAGCACTAATTATGAAAATTCTTTGAATTAAAGTAGGGGTAATTACTAGCAACACCTAACACCAATTAATGTGGTTTTGAATGAGAAGGTAAGAAAATCCAATCAACATGTTGTATTGAATAAGAAGGTGAACCTACCCTATATAATCCATCGAATATGCCCTACAAAATCCATCAAACACTTCAACCAAAATCATGACCCTAATGAGTGGTGTTGATCGTGAAAAATTTAGTAATGCCGCTTTGAAAAATTGAGAGAGTCCAATAAGAAGAAGATGGAGGTGATGGTGATGATGATGAGGGATTCTTAGAGTGATTTTCATCTATCACGTTGAAGACATATCGACTCGAGCTCCTAAGGTTTGCACTTCTCTATTTTTCTTCTTCTTTTTTGGTCTATATAAATAACGACAAAATAGCAAGAAGCATAACAATACGTTTTTCTCCTTCTCTAACATAAGTACAGACCATAAAAATCTGGAAGAGAAAATTATCTATTGGGTGAAACATAGACATCCATCAAATTTTCTATACCAAGTACATTTGAATGAAATCTCTTTTTTTCAATTCACTAAATTTCTTTTTTAATAATTTCAACAAACTTATCAATCGATGTTAATTATCAAATTTCTTCTACTTAAAGTAGGGGCAATTAGTAGTAACAACTAACACTAATTAATGTGGCTTTGAATAAGAAGGTAAGAAATTCCAATAAGCGAGGTGGTATGAAAAAAAAAGGTGAAGGTACCCTATATAATCCATTGAATCGGCTTATAAAATCTACCAAACATTTCAACCAAAATCGCAATCCTAATTAGTGGCGTTGGCTTTGAAAAATTTAGCGATCGTTGCTTTCAAAAATGGAGAGAGTCCACGAAGAAGAAGATGAAGGTAGTGGTGATGATGATGAGGGAAGAGCGACTTTCATCTATAATGTTGGAGATATACCAAGTCGAGCTCTTAAGGTTTGCACTTCTCTCTTTTGTCTTTTTCTTTATTAGTGTATATATATAACGATGAAATAACAAAAAAAAAAAGTTTTTTCCCTTTCCTTGGATAAGTACAACCATAAAGATTTGGAAGGTAAAATTATCTATTGGGTGAAAGATAGAGATCCATCAAGTTTTATGTACCGATGGATTTGAATCAAATCTCTTTCTTTCAATTCACTTAATTTTTTTTCATAATTCCAAGAAAACTTTCAATCAACATTAATTATCAAAATTCTTCTAATTAAAGTAGGGGCAATTATTAGTAACACCTAATATCAATTAATGTGGTTCTGAATGAGAAGCTAAGAAAATCCAATAAGTAGGTGGTATCGAATAAGAAGGTGAAGCTACCCTATGTACGCCATCGAATCCGGCCTATAAAATCCACTAAACACTTCAACAAAAATTGCAACCCCAATTAGTGGTGCTGCCTCCGAAAAATTTAGTAATGCTCGCTATGAAAAATGGAGAGAGTCCATAAAGAAGATGACAGAGATGGTGGTGATGATGATGAGGGATTTTTGGAGCGATTTTCTTCTATCATGTTGGAGATATACCAAGTCGAGGTCCTAAGGTTTCCTCTTCTTTCTTCTTCTTTGTTAGTGTTTATATATAACGATGACATAGCAAGAACCACAACAATAAGTTTTTTTTCCTTTTTTGAGATAAGTACGACCATAAATATTTGGAAGGGAAAATTATCTATTAGTGCGAAAGATAGACATTAATGAAATTTTTTGTACCCGTGGATTTAAATCAAATCTTTTTCATTCAATTCACTTATTTTTTTTTAGTAATTCCAAATTTTTTTTTCAATCGGCATTAATTATTAAATTTCTTCGATTAAAGTAGGGGCAATTATTAGCAATAACTAACACCAATTAATATGGCTTTGAATGAGAATGTAAAAAAATCCAATAAGCAGGTGGTATCGAATAAGAAGGTGAACGACTCTATATAATCTACCGAATCCGGCCCATAAAATCCACCAAAGACTTCAATCAAAATCACAACCCTCAATAGTGGTGCTACCTTTGAAAAATTTAGCAAGTCTTCGCTTTGAAAAATAGAGATAGTCCATGAAGAAAAAGATGGATGTGGTGGTGATGATGATGAGGGATTTTCGTAGCAATTTTCATTTGTCATGTTGGAGATATACCAAGTCGAGCTCCTAAGGTTTTCACTCCTCTCTTTCTTCTTCTTCTTTGTTAGTGTATATATATAACGATGAAATAAGAAGAAACACAAAAATAAGTTTTTTTCCTTTTCGAAGATAAGTACAACCATAAAGATTTGGAAGGAAAAATTATCTATTGGGTGAAAGATAGATATTTATCAAATTTTCCGTACCAGTGGATTTGAATCAAATCTCTTTCTTTCAATTCACTTAATTTCTTTTTGAATAATTCCAACAAAGTTTTCAATCGGCATTAATTATCAAATTTCTTCGAATTAAAAAGGGGCAATTATTATCAACTCCTAACACTAATTAATGTGGCTTTGAATGAGAAGGTAAGAAAATCCAATAAACATGTGGTGTTGAATAAGAAGATGAAGGTACCCTATGTAATCCAACAAATCTGGCCTACAAAATCCACCAATCACTTTAACCAAAATCACAACCCTAATTAGTTGTGTCGCCTTTTGAAAAATTTAGTAGTTCCGCTTTGAAAAATTGAGAGAGTCCAAGAAGAAGAAGATAGAGGTGATGGTGATGATGATGATGATGAGGGATTTTCGAGTGATTTTCCTTTATCATGTTGAAGGCATACCAAGTCGAGCTCCTAAGGTCTGCACTCCTCGTTTTTTTCTTCTTGTTTTTTGGTGTATATATATAATGACAAAATAGCAAGAAGCACAACAATAAGTTTTTTTCCATTACCGAGATAAGTACAACCATAAAAATTTGGAAGAGAAATTTATCTATTGGGTGAAAGATAGACATCCATCAAATTTTCTATACTAGTAGATTTGAATATAATCTCTTTTCTTCAATTCACTATATTTCTTTTTTAATAATTCCAACAAAATTTTCAATCAGCATTCATTATCAAATTTCTTCTACTTAAAAAGTAGGGGCAATTATTAGAAACACCTAACACTAATTAATGTGGCTTTGAATAAGAAGGTAAGAAAATCCAATAAGAAGGTGGTATCAAAAAGAAGGTGAAGGTACCCGATATAATCCATTGAATCCGGCCTATAAAATCCACTAAACACTTCAACCAAAATCACAATCCTAATTGGTGGTGCTGCCTTTGAAAAATGTAGCAAGTCTGCTTTGAAAAAAGGAAAGAGTCCACAAAGAAGAAGATGGAGGTGGTGGTGATGATGATGAGGGATTTTCGGAGTGATTTTCGTCAATCATGTTGGAGATATACCAAGTTGAGCTCCTAAGGTTTACACTCCTCTCTTTTTTCTTCTTCTTTATTAGTGTATACATATAACGATGAAATAGCAAGAAACACAACAATAAGATTTTTCCTTTTCCGAGATAAGTACAACCACAAAGATTTGGAAGGGAAAATTATCTATTGGGTGAAAGATAGAAATCCATCAAATTTTCTCTACTAGTGGATTTGAATCAAATCTCTTTCTTTCAATTGAATTAATTTTTTTTTTATAATTCCAATAGAATTTTCAATCGGGATTAATTATAGAATTTCTTCTAATTAAAGTAGGAGAAATTATTAGCAACACATAACACCAATTAATGTGGCTTTGAATGAGAAGGTAAGAAAGTCCAATAAGCATGTGGTATCGGATAAGAAGGTGAAGCATCCCTATATAATCCATCGAATCTAGCCTACAAAATCCACCAAACACTTCAACAAATATCACAACCCTAATGAGTGGTGTTGACTTTGAAATTTAGTAGTGCTGCTTTGAAAAATTAAGAGAGTCCAAGAAGAAGAAGATTGAGGTGATGGTGATGATGATGAGGGATTTTTAGAGTGATTTTCATCTATCATGTTAAAGACATACCAACTCGAGCTCCTAAGGTTTGCACTCTCTTTTTTCCTCTTATTTTTTGGTCTATATATATAATGACAAAATAGCAAGAAGCACAACGAATAAGTTTTTTTTCCTTTTCCGAGATAAGTACGACCATAAAAATCGGAAGAGAAATTTATCTATTAGGTGAAAGATAGACATCCATCAAATTTTCTATACTAGTGGATTTGAATGAAATATCTTTTTTTCAATTCACTAAATTTCTTTTTTAATAATTCCAACAAAATTTTCAATCGGTATTAATTATCAAATTTCTTCTACTTAAAGTTGGGGCAATTATTAGCAACAACTAACACCAATTAATGTGGCTTTGAATGAAAAGGTAAGAAAATCCAATAGGTAGGCCATATCAAATAAGAAGGTGAAACTACCCTATATAATCCATCGAATCCGGTCGATAAAATCCACCAAACACTCAACCAAAATCATAGCCCTCATTAGTGGTGCTCGCCTTTGAAAAATTTAACAGATCTTGCTTTTAAAAATAGAGATAGTCCATGAAGAAAAAGATGGATGTGGTGGTGATGATGATGAGAGATTTTTGGCACGATTTTCATCTTTCATGTTAGAGATATACGAAGTCGAGCTCCTAAGGTTTACACTCCTCTCTTTCTTCTTTTTCTTTGTTAGTGTATATATATAACGATGAAATAGCAAGAAATGCAACAATAAGTTTTTTTTCCTTTTTTGGGATAAGTACAACCATAAAGATTTGGAATGGAAAATTATCTATTGGGTGAAAGATAGATATCCATCAAATTTTTTGTACTAATGGATTTGAATCAAATCTCTTTCTTTCAATTCACTTAATTTCTTTTTGAACAGCTTCGACAAAGTTTTCAATCGGCATTAATTATCAAATTTCTTCGAATTAAAAAGGGGCAATTATTATCAACGCCTAACACCAATTAATGTGGGTTTGAATGAGAATGTAAGAAAATCCAATAAGCATGTGGTATCGGATAAAAAGGTGAAGCATCCCTATATAATCCATCAAATCCGGCCTATAAAATCCACCAAACACTTTAACAAAAATCACAACCCTAATTGGTGGTGGTGCCTTTGAAAAATTTGGTAGTGCTTCTTTGAAAAATGAAAAGAGTCCATCACGAAAAAAATGGAGGTGGCAGTGATGATGATGAATGATTCTTAGGGCGATTTTCATCTATCATGTTGAAGATAAACCAAGTCGAGATCCTAAGGTTTTCACTCATCTCTTTTTTCTTCTTGTTTGTTAGTGTATATACATAATGATGAAATAACAAGAAACACAACAAGAAGTTTTTTTCCTTTTCGAGATAAGTACAACCATAAAGATTTGGAAGGGAAAATTATCTATTGGGTGAAAGATAGACATCCATCAAATTTTCTCTACAAATGAATTTGAATTAAATCTCTTTCTTTTAATTCACTAAATTTCAATTTTTAATAATTGCAACAAAATTTTCTATCGGCATTAATTATCAAATTTCTTCTACTTAAAGTAGGGGCAATTATTAGCAACACCTAACACCATTAATGTGGCTTTGGATAAGAAGGTAAGAAATTCCAATAAGTAGGTGGTATCGAAAAAGAAGGTGAGGGTACCTTATATAATCCATCGAATTTGGCCTATAAAATCCACCAAACACGTCAACCAAAATCACAATCCTAATTAGTGGTTCCGCCCTTGAAAAAGTTAGTAGTGCTCGCTTTGAAAAATGGAGAGAGTCCACGAAGAAGAAGATGAAAGTGGTGGTGATGATGATGAGGGATTTTTAGAACAATTTTCGTCCATCATGTTGGAGATATACCAAGTTGAGCTCCTAAGGTTTACACTCCTCTTTTTTTTTCTTCTTTCTTAGTGTGTATATATAACGATGAAATAGCAAGAAACACAACAATAAGATTTTTTTCTTTTCCGAGATAAGTACGACCACAAAGATTTGGAAGGGAAAATTATCTATTGGATGAAAGATAGGCATCCATAAAATTTTCTCTACTAGTGGATTTCAATACAATCTCTTTCTTTCAATTCTCTTAATTTTTTTTTAATAATTCCAACAAAATTTTCAATTGGCATTAATTATAAAATTTCTTCTAATTAAAATAGAGGCAACAATTAGCAACATAAAACACCAATTAATGTGGTCGAATGAGAAGGTAAGAAAATCTAATAAGCATGTGTTATCGAACAAAAAGGTGAAGCATCCCTATATAATCCATCGAATCCGGCTTACAAAATCCACCAAACACTTTAACAAAAATCATAACCCTAATTAGTGGTTCCGCCTTTGAAAAATTTAGTAATGCTCGCATTGAAAAGTGGAGAGAGTCCATGAAGAAGAAGATGGAGGTGGTGGTGATGATGATGAGGGATTGTTGGAGCGATTTTCATCTATAATGTTGGATATATACGAAGTTGAGCTCCTAAGGTTTGCACTCCTCTCTTTTTTCTTCTTATTTGTTTGTGTATATATATAACGATCAAATAGCAAGAAACACAACAATAATTTTTTTTCCTTTTCCGAGATAAGTATAACCAAAAAGATTTGGAAGGGAAAATTTTCTATTGGGTGAAAGATAGACATCCATCAAATTTTATGTACCAATGGATTTGAATCAAATCTCTTTTTTTCAATTCACTAAATTTCTTTTTTAATAATTCCAACAAAATTTTCAATTGGCTTTAATTATAAAATTTCTTTTATTTAAAGTAGGGAAAATTATTAGCAACACGTAGCACTAATTAATATGGCTTTGCATGAGAAGGTAAGAAAATCTAATAAGCGAGCGGTATCAAAAAAGAAGGTGTAACTACCCTATATAATCTATCGAATCCGGCCTATAAAACCATCAAACACTTCAACCAAAATCACAACCCTAATTAGTGGTGTTGCTTTTCAAAAATTTAGCAGTGCTTCTTTGAAAAATGGAAAGAGTCATAGATGAAAAAAATGGAGGTGGTGGTGATGATGATAAGGAATTTTTAGAGCGATTTTCATCTATCATGTTGGAGATATACCAAGTCAAGCTCTTAAGATTTTCACTCCTCTCTTCTTTCTTCTTCTTTATTAGTGTATATACATAACAATGAAATAGCAAGAAACACAACAAGTTTTTTTCCTTTTTTGAGATAATTACAGCCATAAAGATTTGGAAGGGAAAATTATCTATTAGGTGAAATATAGACATCCATCAAATTTTTCGTATTAGTGGATCCGAATAAAATCTCTTTCTTTCGATTCACTAAATTTCTTTTTAATAATTCCAAAAAAAGTTTCAATCAGCATTAATTATCAAATTTCTTTTAATTAATGTAGGGGTAATTAGTAGCAACACCTAACACCAATTAATGTGACTTTGAATGAGAAGGTAAGAAAATCCAATAAGCATGTGGTATCGAATAAGAAGGTGAACCCGCCCTATATAATCCATTGAATGCGGGCTACAAAATCCACCAAACACTTCAACAAAAATCACAACCCTAATGAGAGGTGCTCGCCTTTGAAAAATTTAGTAGTGCTACTTTGAAAAATAGAGAGTCCATGAAGAAGAAGATGGAGGTGATTGTGATGATGATGAGGGATTCTAACAACGATTTTCATCTATCATGTTGGAGATATACCAAGTCGAGCTCCTAAGGTTCCTACTCCTCTCTTTTTTTTCCTTCTTCGTTAGTGTATATATATAACGATGAAATAGAAAGAAACAAAACAATAAGTTTTTTCCTTTTTTGAGATAAGTACAACTATAAAGATTTAGAAGGAAAAATTATATATTAGGTAAAAGATAGACATGCATTAAATTTTCCGTACTAGTGGATTTGATACAAATCTCTCTCTTTCAATTCACTTAATATTTTCTTAATAATTCCAAAAAAATTTTCAATTGGCATTAATTATCAAATTTCTTCTCATTAAAGTAGGGGCAATTATTAGCCGTACCTAACACCAATTAATGTGGCTTTGAATGAGAATGTAAGAAAATCCAATAAGCGAGTAGTATCGAATAAGAAGGTGAAACTACCCTATATAATCCATCAAATCCGGCCTATAAAATCCATCAAACACTTCAACCAAAATCATAATCCTAATTAGTGGTGTTGCCTCCGAAAAATTTAGTAGTGCTACTTTGATAAATGGAGAGAGTCCACGAAGATGAACATGGAAGTGGTGGTGATGATGATGAGGGATTTTCGGAGCGATTTTCATCTATCATGTTGGAGATATGCCAAGTTGAGAACCTAAGGTTTGCACTCCTCTCTTTTTTCTTCTTCTTTTTTAATGTCTATATATATAACGATGAAATAACAAGAAACACAACAATAAGTTTTTTTCCTTTTACGAGATCAAGCACGACCATAAAAATTTAGAAGGAAAAATTATCCATTAGGTGAAAGATAGACATTCATTAAATTTTCTATATCGAGTGGATTTGAATCAATCTCCTTTTTTCAATTCACTTAATTTCTTTTTTAATAATTTCAACAAAGTTTTCAATCGGCATTAATTATCCAATTTTTTTGGACTTAAAGTAGGGGTAATTACTAACAACACCTAACATCAATTAATATGGCTTTGAATGAGAAGGTAAGAAAATCCAATAAGGAGGCGGTATCGAATAAGAAGGCGTAACTACCCTATATAATCCACCAAATTTGGCCTATAAAATCCACCAAACACTTCAACATAAATCGAACCCTAATTAGTGGTGCTACCCTTGAAAAATCTAACGAGTGCTTCTTTTGAAAATCGAAAGAGTCCATGATGAAAAAGATGGAGGTGGTGGTGATGATGATGAGGGATTTTTAGACCAATTTTCATCTATCATGTTGGTGATATACCAAGTTTAGATCCTAATGTTTTCACTCCTCTCTTTTTTCTTCTTCTTTGTCGGTGTATGTATATATATTGATCAAATAGCAAGAAACACAACAAGAAGTTTTTTTCCTTTTATGAGATAAGTACAACCATAAAGATTTGGAAGGGAAAATTATCTTTTGGGTGGAATATAGACATCTATCAAATTATTGTTACCAGTGGATTTGAATCAAATGTCTTTCTTTCAATTCACTTAATTTCTCTTGGAATAATTCCAACAAAAATTTCAATCGACATTAATTATCAAGTTTCTTCTACTTAAAGTAGGGTGATTATTAGCAACACCTAACACGAATTAATGTGGCTTTGAATGAGAAGGTAAGAAAATCCAATAGAGCGAGCCATATCGAATGAGAAAATGAAACTACCCTATATAATCCATCGAATCTAGCCTATAAAATCCACCAAAAACTTCAACCAAAATCACCACCCTCATTAGTGGCGCCGCCTTTGAAAAATTTAGCAATGCTCGCTTTTAAAAATAGAGATAGTCCATGAAGAAAATGATGGATGTCGTTGTGATGATGATGAGGGATTTTCGCAGCGATTTTCATCTCGTCATGTTGGAGATCTACCAAGTCGAGCTCCTAAGGTTTTGACTCCTCTCTTTCTTCTTCTTTGTTAGTGTATATATATAACAATGAAATAGCAAGAAACGCAACAATAAGTTTTTTTCCTTTTCCGAGATAAGTACAACCAAAAATATTTGGAAGGGAAAATTATCTATTGGTTGAAAGATAGATATCCATTAAATTTTTTGTACTAGTGGATTTGAAACAAATCTCTTTCTTTCAGTTCACTTTATTGCTTTTTGAACAATTCCAAAAAAGTTTTCAATCGGCATTAATTATCAAATTTCTTTGAATTAAAAAAGGGGTAATTACTATCAACACCTAACACCAATTAATGTGACTTTGAATGTGAAGGTAAGAAAATCCAATAGGTAGGTCGTATCGAATAAGAAGGTGAAACTACCCTATATAATCCACCGAATCCGGCCTATAAAATCCACAAAACACTTCAACCAAAATCACAACCTTAATTAGTGGTGCTGCCTTCGAAAAATTTAGTATTGCTACTTTGAAAAATGGAGAGAGTCCATGAAGAAAATGATGGAGGTGGTGGTGATGATGATTTGGGATTTTCAATGTGATTTTCATCTATCATGTTGGAGATATACTAAGTCGAGCTCCCGAGGTTTGCACTCCTCTCTTTTTTCTTCTTCTTTTTTATTATATATATAACGATGAAATAGCAAGAAACACATCAATAAGTTTTTTTCCTTTTCGAGATAAGTACAACCAAAAATATTTGGAAGGGAAAATTATCTATTGGGTGAAAGACATCCATGAAATTTGTAATACAAGTGGACTTGAATTAAATGTCTTTCTTTCAATTCACTTATTTTTTTTTAATAATTCCATCAAAATTTTCAATCAGCATTAATTACCAAATTTCTTCTAATAAAAGAGGAGAACTTATCGGTAACACCTAACACCAATTAATGTGGCTTTGAATGAGAAGGTAAGAAAATCCAATAAGCATGTGGTATCGAATTAGAAGGTGAAACTACCCTCTATAATCCATCGAATATTGCCTACAAAATGCAACGAAACACTTCAACCAAAATCCCAACCCAAATTAGTGGTGCCGCCTTTGAAAATTTATTAGTCGCTGTTATGGCGCCTCGCCTCTGATCCACTCTCTATTATCCAAATAGAGGTGGCCAAGCGAGGCGCGTCATGCCGACATAATCTAATTCGACTCAACTCTTATACGTGCGTGCTCTAAAATTAATAACATAGTATAGACGAAAAGTGTAAAAAAAATTACATATCAATAGCTAATACTCGCTAACAAAAAAAAAATAAATTAACAAACTATTTAAGAGGTCATTTTATCCCTTATTGACACCATACCCTCGAATTATAAACAAAAAAAGATTCCGAGTGTGTTTGCATCACACATAAGCCCTTTTGGAGGATCCGACAACGTCCTTATCGGTATTACCATCGCTTTTACCTATCATGGCATGCAAGAACAAACGGGGTGATTTAAAGCTCGGTAAGTAGGGTGATGCATGTGTTATGCGACATTTTTCTACTTGCCCCCACTATTCTCATCAATTTGAAATGTTAAGGGTACCTTGGGTATTAGTAATTCCGCTCCATTCTTGGTCATTGTCGAATAACCTTAGCAATAATTTACTATCGAATAACCTCAAAAATCATTTATTGTCGAATAACCTCGGTAATCAATTACTATCGAATAACCTTAGTAATCAAGTAACCTCAACAATCATTTATTGTCGAATAACCTCAATATTCAGCTACCGCCGATAACCTCGACAATCGATTCATCGCCGAATAACCTCGGCAATCATTTACTCGGTTCAATCCATCTTCGAATGTATATGATGCACGTGAAGTTACATTTACCCTATTAAACACCTTATAGGTGACGGACCCTCGACTATCAAATCATTCTCGAGATCCAACCCACATAGAGTTTTCGATATATTCCCATATCACTTTCATAATATTTGCCCCAAGGAAAATCAATTATCGTTGACTCATATTAGTCAAGTCATAAACTTTATGTTGCACGTAGGCACTTTCCTCCCGTTAAATTTAGTAAGTATCATTGTACAATTCATCCTTCACTTGACATACGTAATTAGTAGCAGTTTAAACTAGTTTAAAACATACTAAGGTGACATTTTCTCTCCGAAACCAAATTGGGGCATTTTGGGTCGAATTGCGCTTTTAAATGTTCTAGGTCAAAATTTCGGTTTACTTAGAAATTTTTCCTGTCAAGCATCCTCTTGTACTTATTAGGGTGTACTCAAACCATTAATTATGGAATTGAAGGATTGGAATCCAAATCCCCATAGTTTAGGGTTTAAACCGAATAGGTCCTTAAAATGGCCAAATATTACTTTTTCATCCCAACTTACTAATGTATAACTAATTAAATTATTCTTGACTCCTATGCCCTTAATTAAATAAAATGGGTCCAATCTTATTCATTTTCTCACTTAGGCCAAAAGGGTTCTTGAGTGAAACCCTAGGAATTCATTTTCCCCTCTCCAATTTGTGGTTTATTATAGGCTAGCTTTTAATCAAGTATGCAACATTCCAATTTCTAAGCATAATTAAATCCTATCCTTTTGTTATTAGAAACTAGAAATATTGATTCATAACATATCTATAAATTAGGTTTAAATACCAAACACACAATTCATAACATAATTTTGAAGTTTAAGATTCAATCTGTCTAGTAGTAATTCACCTAGCACGATACCGTACTAAAATGGGCATAACGCTTTCTATATAAACCTAATAATACAAATATTTTATAGGGAGTTGTTCAAGAAATAAATCAACAACTTTTATTCTTTAAGATTCACCCAGAAATCAACCTAAGGTCCTTGAACAGGCAATACCAAATTCGGACGGAATCTACTCCTTAATAACATTGATTTAGTCGTTCATTCCAACCCACATTAACCATGTTTTAGTCCACTTAAATTTCATTCCAAGTCCAATCCAACTCGATTACCACATACTTGGACATGCACTAGGCATTATAAACATCACAATTCATCACCTACACAACATTCATAAGTAGATCAAGCCAATACATCATAAATCCACCAACATAAACCAAGCTCAAGAATACAACAAACAACTCAACCAATACATAACTCAAACATATAAAAATGGAAATTAAAAGCATAAATAAAACCTACTTACATTGCTTGAACTTCCTAAAGATTGTTTAGGCTTTCCTTCTTTTTTTTCCTTTCTTCTTTCCTTTTCTTCCTTTCCTCTTTTTTTCGTGTTTTCACTCTTTCTCACTTTGCTTTTCTCTCTTGTTTTTTAAGCTATGGTTTTGGACTAAAAATAGCAGCCATATACTTCACTTCAATGTATATATATACATACATACATATATATATATACATATATATATATACACACACACACACACACACTTCATTTCATTTTTTTTAATAGGTATAAAAATGTCCCAAAGTAATATGGCAAAGTGTAAAGTGAGGGGTGACAAAAAGGAGCAAGTGGCGGGTTTGTGTGGATTTGGCTAGTCAAGGTGTGTGAGCTAGCTTTTAACTCATTAATTAGGGTGCTTAGGTTTCCTAACTAAGTACTAACTACATAATTAACCTAAATAATACTCTTAAACTATTTTAGTTCCATTGAAAAAGTCCCTTAAGGTAGTTTAGTTCAAGTAACAAACTTACACATTAAATCTGGTTGTACCACATACATGGCAGGACAGACCTCTTATCAAATAGCAACGTCCCCCTTCTAGACACCATTAAATCCTATGATTTTTATATGAGAAACTAAAAATATAAAGGTATAACATATAAAAAAATTAGGCTAAAATAACCAACACATAAATCACAAAAAAATTTTAAAGTTTAAGGATCAATCTGTCCAACAAGTATTGCGTTTAGAATAAGTATGTACTAAAATAGGCATAACGTTTTATATATAAACCTAATAATCAACATATTTTACAAAATGTTATTTAAGACATATATAAATAATTTTTATTCATTAAGGTTTGCCCGTAAATCACTCTAAGGTCCATGAATAAGTCACACAAAATTTGAACAGTAATCTACTTCTCAAGAACACCGATTTTGCATACTTGATTCTCGCTAATAATTAAACCATCCATCTAAAGTAAAATTGCTTTAATTTAACACAAATCATACATTTCAAGCATTAATTTCTCATGGTGTAATTTTTCAAAATTTCATTCCATAAATCCTCACCTAAACACCTAGTATGTTGTCATCCTAAAATACTCGAGTGGCACATATACATAATCACACCTTCACTTATTTGAAGATTCCGACCTATATATATATATAATTAAGGGTTTTCATGGGGGTTACATTTTTCTCCCCTTTAAAAGAAATTTCATCCCTAAAATGGAC